AACTCTAATGTGAAAGAAGGCTACGGCTATACGGATTTGTTTACAGAAGCGAGAGGTACTGCATTCGAAAGAGAAGGCTTCACGCTAAACAGCTGTCGGTCGCTGGCGTTTGGCGCATGCGTACTTCTTCTGTAGCAGCATCAGTCTCGTTATTTAATAGCCACACCTCGTATTACCTTGAAAGGTCCATCCTAAGCTCTCTACTTTTTAACCTCTACTGTGCGGATATTAATAATTGCCTACATGAAAACACTCTTCTTTTACAATATGCGGATGACGTTGTTCTCTTCTCGTCAAACCAAAACGCTGAAGCTGCCAGATTGTCGGTCCAAACTGAACAACATATATGACTACTTGAAAGGCAGGGGCTTGGAAGTGTCTCCTTCAAAAACTCAATGGATGCTTTTTACGAGGAAGAGATACACTCACCCGGACATTAAACTACATATTCGGAATGTAGAAATTCTTGTACAATCCGCTGTATTTCTGGGTATTACTCTCGACCCCCAAGTTGAATGGCAAAGAGCATCTAAAGACCATCAATAAGGGACGTAATACAAAAATACTAGCAATTCTTGTCGGCACTAAATGGGGATCACATCCAAATCTACTTCTTATCCTTTACAGAGCCATATTTTGCTCTGCTATTGAATAACGGATGCCAGGTATTCAAGCTCAAGGGTAATAAGACCGAATTTTTGCAACTGGAAAGGCTAGTCAACAGAAACCTGCGTCTAGCCCTCGGATACCGATTATCTACGCCTATTAACGTCATCATGGTCGAAGCAAAAGAAATCCCTCTTCACATCAAGTTTAGTTATATGACCTCCAAACTCATCTACAAAAAAAAATTTTCTCCAGGAAGATCTCTCCGGTGCTGCTCAGCTTTGAATACTTAGAGCAAATTGCATACTCCCCTTCAAGAAGACAAGGGGTCCTGGCTACTGTATGTGCATTCAAGCACTATGTAATGCAGAAATATACGCTCAAAATCATTCACAGATCTACTATGCCTTACGCTTATAAACACAGTTATGAAAGCTATACTTATGTCCATCAGTTTGATAGCTCCTTCACCAATGTTCCTAAGAAGGCGAATATCCGTATTCATCAAGCCCGATTCCTGGAAACTATAACCACATATGCCGATCGTGGCCCACTTATTTATATCGATGACTCTAAGTCCGATAGGGAGGATCGCATGGGCTCTGCAATCTTTTCATCAGATCTTAAAGTTGCGCTCAGATTCAAGCTTCTCCCGGAGACTTCAATTTTCTCAGTCGAGTCCTTGGCTATTCTTCAGGCGATTAATCGAAGATCGGTGTTGTGATGAGGCTTCTATCTATTCCGATTCTTTAAGTGCTCTTCAGGTTATATCGTTATCAGGTATTCAAGTTATTCTTACAACTTCAGAAACGCGAACCACATTATATTAGATATTAAGGATCGTCTGTCCTTTTTAACGCAACATGGTTTTAAAATCAATCTAATCTGGGTTCCTAGTCATAAAGGTATACTTGGTAACGAAACTGCAGATCGTCTCGCTAATGAGGCTGCTCTTAGTGGGCATCGGTCTAAATTTAAAATACCATTTCAAGACTTCTTTATGATCTCCAAACAATTTCTTAACACTAAATTTCAAGCGCACTTGACATCATTGTGCGTCATTTAAAGGGCAATTGTATGACGAGTTTCATAGAAGTAACTCGGCTAAGCCATGGTTTTATCATAAGAACCTAAAAAGAAAGGAGTCGTTACCATCTCCAGAATTAGATTTAATCATTATAATCTGACATACAGCCTGCATCGCAAGAGCATTGTTAACTCGCCTGCGTGCCCCTATGGCGACCCAAGGCAGGATATTAACCATATTCTCTTTTATTACAGACTTTGTATTCATAAGTCGGCTAGACTTCGTGAATACCTGAAGAAGTACTTCCCGTTTTATCCCATTAATATTCACTGTATGATTAATAAACCCCCCCCCCCTACTCTGTGCCGCTTAATTACTACATACCTCAAATCTTTAAACCTCAGTGTCTGATTTCCATGAACACGCCTTTGTGATTTAAGGGGGAGAGGTAGAGGACTTTGGTTCTCTCCTTTCTTCCCAGGCGGCGCCCTCCCCCGCCTGGTTATTTGTTTCAGCTATTGAGTTCGCCCTGATCGGAATCGTCGCCATTCTGCGGCGAGGGCCAATTAACATCGAACAAGAAGAAGAAGTGATGAGGTAAACTCTGAGTCCTTCCCAGAGTGATCTAGACGAAGGAATTTCTGAACGCTTTGGGATGCAATTGGATAACTGGTAAACATCGGTGAAGATTGAGAAAAAACATGAAAGTAAGATTAATTGCTGTTACAACGAAAAAGAGATCGTACTTGTTCTACAAGTAGAAGTCAATTGTATATTGAACGCATTTTTAAAAAATATGCTAACCGACTACACAAGTTATATTAAATAGGACGATTTATAAATATTTTACATACCACTTTTTCTTTGAATACATTGGGTCATCTAAAAAGTATCCGCGGTCACTAGATATATGACCATCAACACACATCTAGTGACAAAAAACCGCGGATACTTTTTAGATGACCCAATATTTATATTCTTTTAAGTAGGTATTTTTTTTCCATTCGCACAACTTCAAAATCAGTTACATTCAATATTAAATTTTCCATTTTTTTCTTCAAAATAGTTAAACCTTTCAATATTTATGGAACTTAACCTTACTTTCATCAGGCACGTGATTTTATAGTGCGAAATGCGCATTGCGCATACGGGGCGACTTTTACCCAACCGAAAAGGTTGACGATAGAGTGATTTTAGAATGATCTAATTCGTTTCTGAACGCTTTGGGTAAATTATACCTGAAGTTTCTGAACGTCTGAGGCGCACACTAGAGCATTCCAGAGTTACCTAGGCATAATTTCTGAACGCACTCTAGTAGAACTAAAGAGTTTTATAGCTTCTGCACACTGGAAATCAATCAACACATTAGGAACTGTAAGCTTATTGGCTACTGCATCACATTTTGTCGCGCGGCAAGCGTTTCCGCGTCCAATGTGCAGAAGCTAAGAGAGTAGCAAATTGCATCTCGTGAATGCCCATGTCCAATCAAGACGAGGGTCACGTAACCAGTTTTTTCCAATCTCTTCCATGCCTATGGAGTTTTGGTGCCCAATTAAACGAGAGGCACGTGATACAATTTGCCACTCTCTCTAGAGACTATAGGTTTGTCACGCGTCGCGTGCTCCAAATTAATTCAAAAAGCACTTGGATCACAGATATGGTGGTGGATGGAGCAGTTGCATTCATGTGGTCCAATGTTCAGTGACACGAACGGATTTAGGATAAGTGAGCCTGTCACCTAATCTAATCCATGAAGACTATTTGAACGAATTGAACGGCATGTGTCTTGTTTCGTTTCGGATATTTTGTGTTACTTCGATTATTTGAAAAACGTTTTTATACAAAATAAATGCATTTTTAATAAATATAAAAGTTATATTATATTTTATTTTATCCCATACAGCACAGAAGATTGAAGCAATATTGATGCAATGTTGCAATATTGCAGATTGCAATATAATATTGCAGAGATATTACAGAAATGTAAATTAACAATGCCTGCAATATGTCAATAATATGCATGTAATATTCCAGAAACATTACAAAACTGTAATTCTTTAATTGTTACTATAATAATATAAAAATATAATTTTTTACAATATTTATGTAGTACAGTTTTTTTAGATTAAGTCGTTTTTATGATATAATATTAGGTGTTGGAATTAATTCGTAGCGTTTTTTAATGAAAGAATGTTATTTATTTCACATGAGCATTAAAAAATACATTAATGAAAGTACTTCCCATCACTTGTAAAACGCTACGAATTAATTCCAACACCTAATAATTAATATAATTCATTTTATATTTAAATAAAAAATTTATTGATCTATTATTTAATGGCCATTTCATTAGCTAAGTTTTATATTTATTTTAAATATGAAATCAGGAGATTGTATAATATCGAGTTTGGATACAATCAATTCATCATTATCGTAAGATAATAAGCAATTAAGCTGCTAAAAATGATTTATCGAAATATTTATTATGTGATCGATGATGTATTTATGCCTCATGTGAACGCAAAAATAAACCAGCGTTTGAACTTTATTGATAAATTTTATACAGTCATTTTTTAATCGATTTCAATTGATTCGGAGTGGTTTCGAATTAAAAAGAATCACTGTGATTAACTTAATCCATGATTAACTTACCAAGCGACTGTATTATTATATTAATGTGAATAATATTTGTAATTTTTTGGGACACACACACATACATACTTTATCCTTACGAATAAATTTATTCTTCAAAATTAATACAATATTTATTGGAATATTTTATGGTTTTATCATAAAAAATTGTTTTTGGAAAGCACATATCACTAGAAATGTGATTTGTAGAAAAATTAGAGTTAGTGAGATATATGTATAGAATTAGTTTTAATTTTAGAGAGTCTTCGTAAAAAATTTATCCAAATACATTACATTGCAATATTGCCGGAATGTTTTGTTGCAATATAACAAAAAGCGGACATCTAAACATTGTCGGAATTTTGCAACAATGATTTAGCAATGTTTCGCAATGTCATATAATATTGTAATATTTCAGTGAAATCATTCTGCAATGTTTCTGCAATCTTTCTGTGCTGTATGGGATTGTATTATTTTTTTTGTAATTTTTCTAATTTTATTTATTTTATTTAATTATTCTTTTTATTTTATTTATTTATAATATTTATTTTAAGAATTAATTATTTACAGATTTTAATATGTAAGCGTGGTTGCCGCAGTTTCGAATTATCTTTCGAATATTCTCTCAAAGTTTGGCATTTCACGATCCACAAAATCGCCGGTAGAAAATAGATAAATTGAAGATATTATTGATCATTTTCTGAACTTCAGGAGGAATCAGAGCACTTGAGCAAAATCCAAAGGATACAATTTTATTAAAAGAATGTGACAACGTACGAAAATGTTTATCTACTTCTAGGATTACGGTAAAGGTAAAAATTTTATAATCATGTTTTAAAATAATGATTACATATGAGACCTATATTATCATTGATTGCAGAATCAGAAAAATGATACCAACTGGAGTTGAAAACAATAATCATATTAAAAAAAAATAAAAATATATTAAAATTCATTCTTTCCATTTATATTGTAAATACCCAAATCGATCAATCTCTCAATCATTAGTTTCTTTTAATTTCTTTGCGCAGTTGTTATTATCATCAGCAATTTTTTTCTTTTAGGTATTTTTTTCCGGTAATGTTTTTTTTAAGCCTTTCATCTTCCTTGTCTGAATGCCGATAATATTTTGTGCGCCAATATGTATACGGCCATACGTTGTACCAAATGTATCTTTAGAAATATTCTTTTTCGTCTTTGCCTATAAAATTACAATTATTAGATTAAAATATTCATCTTTACTAAATTGATATATAATTTATAAAAATTTAGAATTATTTATAAAACAATACCTTGAGTGCGTTAGGTTTCCGACAAGCTCGATTGAATAAATCTTCAGAGGCAAACTTGTTACGCCTGCATACTAAATCAGCACGTGGTCCTATTTCCACGAGTTCTATTCTAGGTGTTCTCGTGTTAGATTTTTTTAAAAGTATCCTAAAAATTATTAGATCGATCAATATATGATTATTTTAAATTAAGATCGCAAACCTATTCTTTTACATATTTAAGTTATTGCAACATTTATTTTACATGACTTTTTACTATTGATATATGTATATAATATTGATATATATATATATATATATTAGGTGTTGGAATTAATTC